TTTTGGGGTTCCCAGGGTGATTTTTGGGGTTCCCGGGGTGATTTTTGGGGTTCCCGGGGTGTTTTTGGGGTTCCCAGGGTGATTTTGGGGTTCCCGGGGTGATTTTTGGGGTTCCCGGGGTGATTTTTGGGGTTCCCGGGGTGATTTTTGGGGTTCTCGGGGTGATTTTTGGGGTTCAGGGGAGGCGCAGAGCTTCTCGCAGTTCCTGCTGCTGACGGAGCAGCACCGGCAGCTTCAGGAGCTGCAGCAGCAGCTGGAGCAGGTGGGACCCCCCAAAAACCCCTCCCGACACCCCCAAATCCCCTGGGACCCCCAACCCCTCCCTCAGGGACCCCAAATCCCCCCCAGCCTCACTTTGGGGGGATTCCCTGCGTTTTTGGGGCTTTTTCTGGGGCGTTCTTGCCGATTTTCGGGGGTTTTGGGGTGATTTGGGGGATTTTGGGGGCGATTTTGGGGGGTTTGGGGCTGATTTTGGGAGCTTTTGGGGGTGTCAAAACCGATTTTGGACAGTTTTGGGGTGATTTCGCAGTTTTTTGGGCGGTTTTAGTGGGTTTTTGGGTTTTTTTTGTAGTGAGTTTTTGGCGGTTTTCAAGGTTTTTGGTGCGATTTTGGGGACTTTTAGGGCGATTTTTGGGGGTACCAAAGCCGATTTTAGGGGTTTTTGGGAGTTTTTGAGGATGCTCGAGCCGATTTTGGACAGTTTTGGGGTGATTTTGAAGGATTTTTGGGCGATTTTCCTTGTTTTTGGGGCGGTTTTCGGCATGCCAAACCCGATTTTGGGTTGATTTTGGGCGCATTTTGAAGGTTTCGGGACGATTTTTTGACTTTTGAGGGGCGAATTCTTGAGACAATTCTGGGGTTTTTGGGGTCGCCGAATCCGATTCTGGGGGTTTTGGGATGATTCTTGACTTTTTTTGATGCGGTTTTTGGGGGCGGTGCCGAAATCGACTTTGGGGTGATTTCCGGTTATTTCTGGAGCGATTTTCGGGGTGATTTTCCTGCGGATTTTGGGAATTTGGGACTTTTTGCCCCCCCAAATCCCCCCCAAATCCCCCTCCGCAGCTCCGGGCGGCCGTGGCAGCAGCAGAGACCCCCCAGGAGCCGGGGGGACCCCCGGGGGACCCCGAATTTGAGGTGCAGGAGCTGCGGGAGCAGGAACGGAGGGGCAGGGAAGAGCTGCAGGAGCTGAGGGCAGGTACGGGGGGGGACCCCGAAACTCCGGGGGGGCACCCAGAGGTTTGGGGAGGGTATTGAAGGGGTTAATCGGGGTCTGGGGGGGCAAATTTGGGGTCTGGGGGGAGAAATTGGGGGTCTGGGGGGAGAAATTTGGGGTCTGGGGGGGAAATTTGGGGTCTGGGGGG